TCTTGAGAAGCATTTGTCTTTAAAATGAGTAAAAATATCACTAATAGGGTCATTAAAATTATTTATTTTTGTCAGATGGCGATGACGTTCTGGGTCATCGCCATCTGGCGACCATAAGCAATACAAACTGCTTAATCAGCAGTTTGTATTTTGAACCGATACAAAAATTTAAACAAGATTTAAAGTTCAGAGCTACTAAGCTAACGGTTACAGGTCCTCTTCTATTGTAGAATACTGCCATCTGGTGGCCAAAACAGATATCACACCGCAGCAGGGCCACACAGCTATAAGTTTATTTATACAGCACATTTACAACAGCCTCAGCTGGCCGAAATCCTTCACAACAATCACAGGTAGATAAATGATGACGCAAAAACTGAAATTAAGTATGATTAAAAAAATAAGAATTATAAAAATTGGCAGAAATACAAAAAACTAATAATATGGATAAAAATCAAGACATACTTAATTTCAGCTGCAGTGAAATTAAGCAAAAAAGAAGCTTAAATTAGGACCAATGTCCCCTGTTTTTCTTTTTCAACTGGTGTTAAAAATGACGATATAGAACAATAAATCTAACTGGAATCAGGGGGAAGTAAAAATGTTTAGTTAATAGCTTTAGCCCAACCGGATCAGCCTGAGCTGCAATATGGATCAGAAATGGGCCATTTATTTTTTCTGCACAATGGCACAGTTGGTAGAGCTGTTGCCTTGCAGCAAGAAGGTTCTGGGTTTGATTGCCGGCCCTGATCTTTCTGCATGGAGTCTCCCTGTTCATGGTGGGTTCTCCCCGGGTACTCCGGCTTCCTCCCACAGTCCGAAAACATGACTGTCAGGTTAATTGGTCTGTCTAATTCTGTGTGTGTGTGTGTGTGTGTGTGTGTGTCCTGTGTTGCCCTGTGACAGACTGGTGACCTGTCCAGGTGACCCCGCCTCTCACCCGGAATATTGGCTGGAGAGGCAGCAGCACCTCTTGACCCCACTAAGGGACAAGGTGTTAGAAAATGGATGGATGTTTCTGAGCGTTTGAAGACCTGGAGGAGGTGGGATCCAGGTTAGAAGGGCTGGAAGGGCCTTCCGGACACAGGAAGGCCCTTCCAGCTGTACGGCGGCGCCCGGTCCTTCAGCTGCGTCCAGGACGACCGGGACCAGCTTCCCGCCCACTGCAGCACCGGCAGCGAGAAGCTGAACCTGGACTGCAGGACGGGATCGTTCCTCATCACGGCTCTCAGGGAAGGTGGCGCCTCAGCCTGCAGGAAGGTGAAACATCAGCCGGGATTCTCCGGAAGCTTTTCAGGATGTTGGAGCCACAGCTGCTCCGCCTCTCTGGTTTGTTTGTAACTGCATCTCAGTTTGTTTGCCGCCGCTAGCAGCAGCAGACTCACCGTCTCCCCCTGCAGGGTCCACATCCCACCTCCCCTGATGTTCACCTGAGGCCTCAGTGCTGCCACCTGCTGCTTGTGAACTGACATTACGACAGTAGAGATCTTTAAGTCCTAAAAGTCATAAAACTTCTGGTCCCAGACTTATTAACTAAATTAACAAAAACCACAACAACACCAAAAAGACAACAATCCTCATAAAACTCTGATCACCGACATTTTAAGTTCTTCTCTAATATTTAACTGAAGGTCTAGTTCAATCATTAAATCAACCAGCTGATTTTCTGCTGACACAGCAACATACTTCAGTATCCGAGAGGTCAAAGGTCGAGGTTGCCCAGGAGGGAGTTTTCCTTCGTTGTGATTGGCTTTCAAATGGATTTCTAATTATGTTCAGTAATTGTTGTGCAGATAAGTAAACTAAAGCAGTTTGTATACAGTTAGTCTGCAGAAATGTCTGTCGCCTTTACAGGCAGAAGCTTCTTCTCCTGCAGGACAACCAGAATCTACAGTTTGTGTTTTCAGTGGCTGAAGCTCAAAGCTGTGACTGAAAACTGGAAACTGAGATTTTAGAAAGGAAGGAAGCAGAAGAAAAGTTTCCTCTCCCAGTCTGAGTTAGTGACGGTCCTGGAAGCTCTCAGGAGTTTTTCTCTAAACCATCTGCTCTGCAGTTAGCTTTAGCTTAAAGAAGCTAATGCTACAGATTTAGTCATTTGGCTGCAGGTCGACAGTCAAAGTCTGTGTTCATATTTACTTTGTTCACATTTATACCTAAAATAACTTTATGTGCTTGAATTAAGGGATTAAAGTGAGTTTGCATATAGATGTTTTCTTCATAGATGCTGAGTGTAAAGATCTCTAGATCTGCCTCTGCATTAGTACGATGAACTGAATGTGGATATTCATCATCTGACTCCTCCTACCTGCTGGAGCTCAGCAGCCAGACGACGAGGCAGGAGAACCTTCTTCATGGCTCCGCTCTGAAACAATGAGAGGATCCGGTTCAGTCCGGTTCGGTCCAGTCCGGTTCAGTCCGGTTCGGTCCGGTTCGGTCCAGTCCGGTTCA